GTGAGCCGCAGGAACTAAGTTTACCACCTCATCAATTCATATTTCAAGAAGCATTTTACAGCTTGAAGCTTGATTTCGAAATATATTGACGAATTTGTGTGTAGATTCTTTTTTTATTAAGCTTCTGTAAGAAACGGAAATGGAAAAAAGCATGAAATTAGTACCGAACTCGGAATTATTATGTAGATGGCGAGCAAGTTCGTCAGGAACCACAGATGTCTACTAGGGATGGGCGATGTTTAGAAAACATCGCCCATCTCTAGTCTATACTAAACTAGATTGCTAAAGCTGGCAACACACACTTTTCGTAACGGTAACCGTAACCAAATCACACTAGCGATTGGCGATTGATGATTGACGATTGAAGATTGGAACTTGACCAATTGGAACAAAGCAAGCCAAAGTTGAAGCTCGTTAATTCATCAAAATCTAATAGCATGTTCGACTGGTTCTGGGTTAACCCACTCTGGATTATTCAGCTTACGTTTATTGGTCGAACAAGTACTAATAAGCTTTATGATTGGCTAGTAGAGACTTATAATGTCATTAATCGCTCTCGGAGTGATTAACTCAGAGCTAGTCAAACACGCTATAATCTTCAATCGTCAATTGCTAGTGCCTGAAGGTCAAATCTCTCTCTCTTTCTCTCTCTCTCTCTCACTCTCTCTCTCTCTCTCTCAATAGTTTTCAGACCTAATCCTATTGGCCCTTTCACCATACTTCTATGATATATGGAAGTATATATGCAATGTTTCTCTGCATCCGCTAATCCGATCCGTCTCTCACGGACACGATTTGGTAATCCGATTAACCTAAGGAACTTTCTCTCTAGACAATTTACATCACTGCGATTAATCCGATTAAAAATCCGATTGCTATACGTAAACATCCTGTATATATGTCATTGGTGGTGGTCCTCGCTTAAGCCGAAATCAGACTACGCATTGGAGATTGAGGATTGCGGATTGAAGATTGCTATTTGACCAATTGGAGCAAAGCAAGCCAAAATCAAAGTTCATTGTTTCGTCGAAATCTAATCTTCAATCCGCAACTTCAATCTTCAATGCGTAGTCTGAAGGTGCAAACGAGTGAGTCCCAAATGCGCACATTGACAAACGGACATCCAATCATATGTCGTTGTTTATAGAGTCTCTAGAATATTTCCAGACATACGGCGTTGTGCTTGGCTGTGTCCGTTTGTCAATGTGCGCATCTGGGACGGTTTCGTGCAAAACCCATATAGCGGAATAGCGGAGCGCGGAACAAGAGCGGAATCAATCAGGAGTGAAAACTATGGAACGCTCATGATTGATTTCGCTCTCGTTCCGCGCTCCGCTATTCCGCTGCATGGGTTTGCACCCTGATTCCGGCTTTACACTGTCCAGTTCTAATACAATCCCAATGCAGCTACAAAGAACAGACCTAAAGTATCAGACAGTTGTCATTCTACGCATGCGCAAAAAGCCTCCAGCCGCGGAGAAAATCTCGCAACTCGCAGCACTTGCCGTAACCTTATTAGTCTTGTCTATAATTACAGTTTGCGCTTTGCATGTTACGTGTTTCTTTTTTTAATATCTCTCTTATTCTGAACAAGTGAGAAACAATATCTTTGTGTTGTGAAAGAAATTTTGAGATGATAAATTAGAATTGTATCTGTGTGCATGTTTCAATATATCTCTTTTAACTTCGAAAACATAACCTCCAGACATAACTCGTGATTCATAAAGTATCTCTTCAAAACAAATTCAAAGATCTGTCAAGAATGGCAGATGTGCGTGATATCCTAGACATTGAAGTTCCAACAACTACGGAACTTACAAAAGAGTCGATACTGGGTAGTGACAAAAAGAATCGTAAGAAGTATGACTACAAGGTGCCAAAACGTCCAGAGGGTATGCACCGCGAAGTATTCGCGCTACTATGCAAGGACAATAACGATGTTCCGCCGATGTTTCCGACGGACACTGGGAAAGGATACAAGCAAGCGCGCGCTAAGCTTGGTATGAAGAAAGTGCGACCATGGAAATGGACACCATTTACTAATCCGGCACGCACAGACGGTGCTATCTTCCACCATTGGCGACGTGTCGCTGACGCTGGAAAAGAGTATCCCTTTGCTAAGTTCAATAAGAGAGTACCTGTCCCGACGTATACAAATGCAGAATATGTACAGCATTTAGTAACCAATGGTTGGACACGAGCAGAGACGGACCATTTGTTTGACTTATGCAGAAGATTTGACCTTAGGTTTATCATTATCAAAGACAGGTGGGATCGTGCCAAGTTTGTTGCAAGATCTGTAGAAGAATTAAAGGAGAGGCAAATATATCTTATTTGTGTATTTATATTTTATTAATTTATGTATCAAACAGCTTAAGTTTCAATACATATGTTGCTGCGAACATATATATAGGTACTACCAGGTATGTGCTGCATTGACAAAGGCAAAATCTCATACTGACAAGGTGTATGTCTTTGATGCGGAACATGAGAAACGTAGGAAGGAACAGCTGAAAAAGTTGTTTGAACGTACTCCTGAGCAAGTGGAGGAAGAACAGACACTACTGGCTGAATTGCGTAAGATTGAACAAAGGAAAAAGGAGAGAGATAGAAAGACACAAGACCTGCAAAAATTAATCACAGCTGCTGATCACCAAGCAGATCCCAGGAAGAGTGAGAGGAAATCTTCCAAAAAGAGTAGTAGTTCTAGGAATAGACCAAATAAAACTGACACTTCGCATGTAAGTGCTCGAAGATAATCTAACAGATTTTGATAATTTTCACTCAATTTTCATCCCTAATATTGATGATAACATAGAGATAATATAAAGACAGTTCAATATGAGACTGTAAGAATTAAAAAAATAATTCGTCTATTTTATCATTTGTAGGCAGTGGAATCAGCTGGAATTAAATTCCCTGACTTCAAAAACAGTGGTGTTACTCTTCGTTCTCAGAGAATTAAATTGCCAAGCAGTCTTGGTCAAAAGAAGATGAAAGGCATCGAGCAAATGCTGAATGAATTACGATTAGGTAGATTTTGTAGTTTATGCTTCATATATTCCATTTCCACCACTAAAAGTTTCTTATTGAAAATTGAAAACTGTCACGCTTACTTCATAGAATTAAACCCACCACCAACGGAACAGATATGTCAACAATTTAACGAACTCCGAAGCGATATAGTTTTGCACTACGAGTTGAGAAGTGCATTGTCGACATGCGATTATGAGTTGCAGTCCCTGAGGCATCAATATGAAGCACTAGCACCAGGAAAGGTAATTTAGTATGAGACTTAAAAGAGATGTAATTTCATGTTATTACTTACCTCGACGGTCTTGCAGTTATTTCATAAGTAATCGGACGGACTCATAAGTTATTTCTTGATTATCTCTTGAATAATCGGACACTCTTCGATTAAATCGATTGAATTTGTTCACATCAATCGCTAATTAAACTGCCTTCAATTAAATTTGCTAAGTTCAATTGTCAATTAAATGATCTGTGATTTTTTCTGCTCATATCAATTATCGGTTGAATAGCTTTTAATTAAACTTATTGAAATGGTCGTTAATTAAACACTCTTCAATTGATTTTACTCGAATCAATCGTCAATTAGTTGAATTCAAACATATTTGTTCAGATCAATTAATAAATCGGGAAAAATTCGATTAATATTTTTATAAATTTGCTCACATCCTGTTTGTTTTAGACTTTAACCATACCACCGGCGCTTTTACCAAAAACGGAACCAGAAGTTAAAGCGGATATTATTGATGTAGTAGGATCACCCAGTACGCCCAGTGTTACCCATTAATTAAAGAAAAGACAAATAGATGAGAGGGTGATCGAATATATTATGTAAATATAATTTCTTTAGCAACGATTTTTATGGAAAGAAATAGAAAGCCCACGTCATCATGCTGTATTATATTACTAGACAATTCTTATTTTGTGTACTATAAAGAAATAAAAGACTTGATAAAACGGACGGGTCGTATTATAGTCGACGCAGTGAGGTAATGAAAAAACACGTAACGATAATAATTACTTATATATCTGTGTATTTTATATTGTCGACAAAAAGTAACAATGTACGGTCAAACCGTATAATTTATCTACAACAATCTACAATAGATTACAATATGTTGTTTTGTTTTTGTCGAGGGTTTAGGAGGAGCGGTGGGGATAGTAATGAAGGAAAAGGAGGAGGAGAAGGAGGCAGGTGGGAATACGAGGTCGGGACGGGTAGGAGGGGCGTTAACGGCAAGTGTAAAGAGTATAGAGATGGTCGATGCAGGCCTTTCTTCGTTCGTGCTCCGTTACTCGCGATACAGAGTTGATTCTTTAATTCTATAATAAATTACTCGGTAATAACTCTAGCCGTACTTGGTACGGAATAATGCATATATCTGGCGTTGATAATAATTGATAAACCACCGATCCGTCCGTCCGTCCGTCTGTTCCGCCTGTTGTTCGCTGCCACATGTCGCGAGGAATCTACCGATCGGAGATCAAGCGCGCGATAAACAACGGCGTGATCGGCCAGGGGAGGTGGGAAGGGTGGCACCATGTGTTGACCCGTGCACGTTCGCCGACGGATATCGTTCGCGGATCACGCGGCACCTTTTGTCGTCCTCCTGGCGACACGCGCCAGCTCGACGTCACGCTCGACGATCGCGATGCCGGTAGCGTTCTCGACCTTTCCTCCCGAGACCTCGCGCGACAGAACAGCGGCTAACTGTCGAGTCGTATCTCGTGCGCAAACGCGACATCGGACTGGGGATTACCCCACGGTTGCGAGCCACTACGTTTACGTTACGTTGCATTTCGTTTCTTTTTTTTGTTTGTTTCTCTGGAACCTTTATAAAAATTTACATCGGTGACACGCGCGCTTCTCTACGTCGCATCTAGCTTATCTACTAAGTAATAAACGCTACGAGTTTTTAATTGCGTATGTAACATCGTCGCCGTCGCCGCTCGCGATGCTTGGTGCGCGCGCATGCGTGCGTTCCGCGCGCGAAAGTCTCCGGATGTCGCCGCAACACTAATTTCCGGGATACCACTCGAGAGTTAGTCGGCCGCCTCGCGAAATCGCGCGTTAATTGACAGCGTCGAACACGGCGGCGTGACCGTTTTTGTTTGAAGAAAATGCCGTGCTGTCTTTCTCTTTCTCTCGAGGTGTCGTTCGAAACGAGAGGCGGACTTAACGATAAGGGAGTTATCATTGTCGGTGCGTGGAACTCAATATAACGCAAAGAAGAGGTAACCTCTTAGGAACACTTACACACCGGACAAGTCAAGTAATCGTAAAAGGGAGCGATCAAAAAGTAAGATTATTGACGTTTTCTCTCTCTCTCTCTCTCTCTCTCTCTCTCTCTCTCTCTCTCTCTCTCGTCGTAATAACAATCCTGTCCCGCAGGCATTAGAAAACTCAACGAAATACTCGGATTTATTTTTTCCATTAATAACAACAATATCCATCTCTCTCTTTCTCTCTGGCCCGCTGTCGCATATGACGATATTTATGCGTTTAATATATTTATATATGTATAATATACAATGCGACGGGCTCCCTTTCTTCCATTCTTCCCGATAACAAGAGACAGTAAGATCTTTGTTTGGAGGCTGCTCAAACACTCACGCGCTCCGATTTTACTCGCATCACTTTGAGCATCGTCCGCTACTATCCGGCCTTCGATCACTTCGAGCGATTTAACACGCCGCGGTACAATGTAACGGGTAGGCATGTAACAGCAATAATGTCGTAACCATGATCATAGAATTAATAATAGCAATCGTATGGGCATGCGCAGTCCTGAAAACTCCAAATCCCGAAATTTGGGAACTTGCGGGACAACGTCTCGGAGAGTTACAATTCCGAGAACCGAATACCGGGACAATGTACCGAAGTATAACTTTCCCGAAATATTGGAAGTATGCCATTGCTCCGAGAAGTCGCAATCCCGAAAACTGTGTACACTCAATTGTAAAACGGTTTTCACACTTTTCAGCTATGTTTTGTTACTAGCCAATTACCGCGCAAATTCGTCAGCAGTGTCTCGCAACTGTGACAATCTTGAACATTGCAAATTACTGGAAGAAAAGTGTGAGAACCATTTGCAACAGGCATAATCTCACGAAATATACTGAAAGCATGAAACTATCCCACAAAGTTGTACAACAAATTGTGGTTGACAATTTCACGTTTTCAATATTTTAGAAGATTATTCCTGTGTACTCAGTCTCTAGGACTGTGATTTTTCGAGACAGTCGTATACTTTCAGTATTACGGTGGTATTCATATTGCTGCGGTATTCAGTTTTCAGGATTGCGACTTTTCACGACCATTTTTAGAATTTCTATAGTTTTTTTTCTCGAGATTATGCATGCCCACTGCAATCGTCCCGCGACACACATGCGGCACGTGCGTGCGGAAAATAGAGCGCTGATGATGAGTCCGTTGCGAGATATTCTCACTTGCCCCTGCGATCTAATTTGCAAATTGTAATTGGATAGAGGTAACTGTAGATACGCGAGAGAGTATGCCGACGTGTAATTAAAAGAATCAGCGTTGTCGCTTTTGTATACACAGAGCGTTTGCAATTTATACGTAGAGACTCGAGCGACTGATGGGACTCACGAAGACAAGCAAGACAGTCCTAATGAATGCTGATCCGCGATCTACATTTCACGAGAATTAGTTTATGGATCAGTCTTTATCGGGACTCGCTACTTTGTCTTCGCGAACTTTATCAGCCGATGAAATTTTTATCTATAATTCTCTGAAGCAACCTGTATGTTTCTCTTAATTAGAATGTTATCGAGTATTAACATTCGCTCGCTCACGAGCAGCTGAGAAGTAGTTAGTAGTTGAATCTTCATTCATTTTTACGTTTATTCGGAACGACGATAACGGCAAAACAATGGTGGGGATAATTGTGACGAGTCAGAAAACACATTTTCCCCGACGAAATGGAATAAGATGGTGGTAATTGCATCGATTTAATAATACATAGAGAGTCCCAAAGGGAACCCTCGTCCAACTTTCAACCCTTTAAGACTTCGCTCGAGAAAAATTTCTTCTTAAAATAGTCTCAAAAGATGCTCCCGATGAAGAGTCTCGTGGTCCGAATTAAATTGACTGTAATTGACCGCGAGAAATACGATTTTCTAGATGTACATAATTATGTACATTCATGTACATTTGCACGTGCACTCCAACTGTAAAATTTAATAAGTCTTATAACCATGATAATAAATTAAGAAATAAATACTTGAAAATTTATTTACGGAATATAAAGTTTATTTCTATAAATTGCGAATAAATTGTCAAGTATTCTCCTCTCAATGTGAACGTAAAAGCGCCAATCTTGCACTTTAAGATAACATCGATAAGAAAAATTAGAAAAATAAAATTTCTTTATTTTCTTTCGTGAAAAACTTTACACATCTATCAACGTTAACAATTCTGTTCTCTGCACTGAGAAAAAAATCCTTAAAAATTTATTTATAGGATATAAAATTTATTTCTGTGAATAAACTTTATATCCCGCAAAAAAATTGTCAAATATTTTTCTCTCAGTGTGAACATAAAAGCGTCAATCTTGTATTTTAAGATAACATCGATTAGAAATTGAGGAAGTAAAATTCACTTATTTTCTTTTAAATTTACACAACTTCGAGCGTCAACAATTCTACTTTCTGTATTGAAAAAAAATGTTCGAAAATTTATTTGTGGAATATAAAATTTATTTCCATGAAATAAATTTATTTCATAGAATTTATTTCATAGAAATAAACTTTATATCCCACAAATAAATTTTCAAGAATTTTTTCTCAGTGTGCACACGATTGTCGTAATGGTTTCTTCAACGGGAAAATCACTGTTTTACGGGTTAGAACAAAAAATAATAGCTCTAAGATGGATCAATAGCATCGTATTGACGTAATCATTATTTCGTCAATATGAGACATTTGAGGAAAGCCCGAAGTAAAAATCCGCATATAATTATATACACTGAGCCTTAAAGGGTCAAAGAATCGTCTCTCTTCTCTGAGAGACTTCGCTCCGTCTGAAACGAAAGAAGCGATCAGTTGTGTGAGAGACAATCGCGTCGCGCTCGAACCGAAGGAAAAGCTACACTGCGTGAGAAAAAGTGGTCCTTGCTTCCGTGTTCCGGGGACCAATGAATCGGGAAAAGGAATCTACACCGCCAGTATATCGCGACATACTTAATAAATTCGAGCGTGATAAGAGTATAGAGCTCGACTGTACGTTAACGTATCTCTGTTTCTTAATATTTTTTTTCCTTTTATTATTCTTGAAGATTTTATCGGATAGTATGCGATAGATAGAAATGTAAACTCGTTACTCGATTATTGTCGACTGTGTAACAACGTATATGCTCGCGAATCAAAGATTTTTTTGACGTTTCGAAGAGTCAGAGAATGCGCCCGTATAATTATAGTTATTTAGCGCACGAAAGCGATACTTTTGCGTGTGGGAACTTCGAAGAATCGTTTACTCGACTTGTTAAGTTAATCGCTACGTCGTAACGTCGTGCCTCCTTCAACAATCGGCTAACTGCTCTCTATCTATAAGTACGCGATCCTTACATAGTGGAAACGTTCTCGGCGAGTATCTCTAAATAAATGTCTATGCGTTAATTCTCGCGGTTATTGTAAGAACGCAGTTGTTTTTCATTGTTTTGTTTTTCTTTTTCGCCGCGCCACAAGCACTTCCGGCCGCACGATGTAACGTTTTAAGATCCGAGTGAGAGAAGTGACGTGTAAGTGGGCGAAGACGCGCGCCTTCGTGAGAGAAGTCGGATTTAATCATGCAAGAAGTATTCTTTCGCTGATTTCGGGTCCGCTTTTGATGTGACGCAACTTTTTAAAGGAGCCACGCGCCCGGGAAAAACACACACACACGGTTCTCCTCCGAAGAATACGGTACGTGAACGAACGTTTCGTTCGTTACTGCGAGAT